GCAAATGCTGATATTGCTGGAGCGTGGTCGAAAGCGTTTTTCAGGTTTTCTAATTCCAAACCTGACTCAAATAATATACGAAAATCACGAACATATTATTTTGTGGGACTACAATCCATTTGCGATTCGCGCATTCATTTCGATGGTAAATTGATGCTGGGGCGTAATAATAATTCAGAAATGCGTCTAGCTTGTTTGTAAATTACTATGGAGCAAAAAAACCAAGGTCATCTTCGTGAGCAAGGGGCTGTTTTTTGTACGTGCTGTCCAAAAAATTATCTGTGAGTGCCGTCGCTTCTCATATTTGAAGCACTTTGATTAGCTAGAGTTTGAAGCGCGCTCTCTAACTGTCCAACTGAAAATTTCTCCAGTTGTTTTGACCTGCGCTGCACTGCCCAACAGTCAGCTTGCTGGCAATCCTGGTGTTAGCAGGCAGACCAACGGATGATGCACCGCAAAATATGCTAGTGTTTTTATTATTTTTTTAGGCCTATATTCTGTTGCGTACATGCAGTAATGTTGAAACAGTCATTTGTGAGGCGCATAGCTTGACAAAAACATTAGCTCCTTCGTGCTAATTAATCGATTTGTCATTAAGTGTAAGTTCTGCACACATACACACACAGGTGCATAATAAACACGCACTTTCACACGCAAACACAAAAATAAACACAGCACACCACTTTGTTTTTCGGCCATAGCCGTTCACCGAAGACGAAAATTTGTCAGAAGATTTACTTCCAGCATTCATTTTGCTTCCATTCTCTTCTTTTCGAGGCGCATTCTGACCCTATTGGCATGCGCATGTGTTCATCGTTTGATTTTTTGGGGACCATTTAGAAGCAGTACTAAAAAAGCGGATTACTAGCTGGTATCCTGAGATTGCAAGAATTTTATTTTCCAAGTTGATAATAACAGAAATTCTGGCATCCCGATTTTTATTTAAATCCAAGATAAACAATACCTCAAATAGAACCTAGAAATTTTACTTGGATTGTATAAAAAATGTGTGCGTTTTAACGGATCGAAATATTCGTCTTCATTTATTTTTTATCCAGTGCGAGTGAAATAATAATATTTTTTTTACAAATTACGTCTGCAGCTAGTGCTTGTTTCTTGTCAGTCAAGTCTTATTTAATCCTTAATTGCTCAGTCTTTATTACTTCTAGCCTGCCATTACCCCAGTTTTTATTAACTCATGTTTCTTGGTGCATATACACCGGACAGACAATGAATATGTATTGGAAATATGCAATTCGATATCGAAAGGCCTCAGATTATTTTAACTGAAGTGTTGAAGCAGTCTAGCAACACAATAATATCGAATCTTTAAAACGATCATCCGGGCGGTTTTGGCACTTTTTTGGCATAGGATCATCCAAACTGTTACTGATTTACGAATCATCTCAATTCGAATTGACAAGTTTTGCTAGATGATATATATTTCATGTTTACCAGTGCATTTGCTCGAATAGATGATGAGTACTAACTGGAGGTATGCAACTCTGGATCGAAAGGTCTGGCATTACTGCAGCTGATTTATGAAAGCAGCCTGATGACCTTATTAAAATGGAATCATTACGTCGACTGTTTCGACAGTTTTTGGTATTCTTGGTTTAACAGCAGATAGCGTCTTATGAAGAAGTAAATGGAAGAACTGGAGATTTTTGCATATCTGATGATACCACTGATAGTTCTGGGTATATTTGGCAATGTTAATATCATTGTTGCTACGATATTTCATCGAAACCTGCATAACCAGAATGCCATTCTGATTGGTATTATCGCCTTTTTTGATCTGGTAATATTTTTTGATT